CTTCGTTAGCATACCTAAAATAATGGTCATCCTTCATTAGCACTCCTAAAGAAAATGATAATCCTCTCTTAGCATGCTTAAGAGAGTGAGATAATATGGGTCTGGCAAATACATCAGACCTAAAATACTTGGACATTACAGCTAGTCAGGTTCAAAATAACTTGGGTCTGGCAAACCTAAGGTATTTAGATGTAGGAGTCTAAAAAGTTTAAGGTAACGACCATCCTTTTTTGGCATGCCAAAAAGAATTACCATCCTACCCGGGGCACGTCTAAAGGAATAACCCTTCTCCTTTGGGCCTGGCCTAATGGAAGAGCTCAGTTATATCTGACATCTTGGATCCTCATCTTCCTACACCTTTTTAGTGTATAAAAGTCATTTAGGAATCCACCATATTTTTATCAAACATTAATATAGATGTAAGGGATATTTATATATTATTAAATACTATCAGGGTAAGATTATTATTGAGACCCTTTTTTAAAAAAAAAAGACTCGTGAGTTATAAATACACCATGAAACTTTCAAATCAAAGGTTCACAATTTTTATTTTCTATAACATATATATGTGTGTGTGTATCCAGAGCATTTCTCTTAAATATTTCTTTATTTTTTTCTCTAATTTTTTTTTATTTAAACATTGAGAAATCCCTATTTTCACTAAAAAGAACCTTTTACAATTACTAACTATAAGTTATATTGATCTAACAAATATCAAATATAGATTATTAATTATTTTGCTAGAAAAAATAAATAAAGTTATTAAAATTAATTAATTAATTGATAATTCAATCTAAAAAATATATTTATAGACTATCTAGATTTTTTAAGAATTTAACATTTTTAGTCTGATGTGGCATTTTTGTAAAAAAATGAATGCTTTTATGAATATTTCTCCGTCGCTAGTTACATTGTGAAAAAAACGTGGTGGTTTCCGGTTGGAGCAGGATCATGATTGGCAGTATCTGGCTGTATTAGCCATGCTTAAAATCAGGCTATACTTTGGGGTACGGGGGGCTAGACTGCAGTGAAGAAAAAGGAGCAGATCATCAGTGATTGGAGGGGAATCCTGGTCCGCCAGAAGAAGAGAAAGACAACACGCAACATGTTGGTATCTGCCGTTGCCGTCCAAGGGAGAGCACAACTAGCACTGGCCACTCACTTTCGCATCGCTCTTTATTCACGTCTTTGCAGTTTTATTATTTTTGGGTCATTAATTTCAAGAAATCAAAACTGTCGTTAAAAGAGAATTACTTCTTGTTTTTGTAGTAATTTTTGTGGAGGGAAATTTCCTTATGATTATTGCAGAAAAAGAATCTTCGTGGATTAAAGTAAAAGAAACTGAAGCTTAAATATCAAAATGAAAAGAAAAAAAAAAGGACCGGGAAGAAAATCTACAGAGGTTCAACAATTATGAATAAAAAATTATAAAAGGATGAACATGATAGTTATAGTTTTGTTTCGGGGGGTTTTTAAAATGTGATAATGGTTGGTTTTATAAGTATTTTTTATTTTTTAAAAAATTATTTTTAATATCAGTACATCAAAATAATAAAAAAACATATATAAAAATAAAAATTTAAAATAAAAAAATAAAAAAATTTAAATATTTTTTAAAAATATTTTTAAATGGAAAAACAAATGAATTATTAGTTTTTTTATTGGATCATTAACCATCATTATGCAATGGGTCAAATCAAAAAAAAATTAAACATATAAATATACAAGTATTCCTTATGTCTTTCTAGTAAAAAAAAAAAAAAAACCAAACCATGCAAAGGTCAAACTAATGCAACATGTTTGAGTTAATGGGTCTAAAGATAACCTGAATAACGAGTGAAAATACAGTTTGACTAAAAAACTTAAAATAATATTTTTTCTTTAAAAAAACTCAAATAACAATATAGTGGATCAATCCAAACCAACTCGGGTTAACCTTTTAAATCTGCGATCTAAATCATGAGGTCATGATAAAATTAATCAAAATAAATTATAAAACTTAATTTTCAATAAACTCAATGTTGAATGATGAAATTAAAATAAATTAATTAAAAATTTTACCTTAATTAATTTGTCTAACTCATAACCCAAGTCACGAGACCAAGAAAATCTCATTGAAAGTAAACATAAATAATAATTCGAGTCAACTTAAATTAACTTGTCAAACTCGCAATTAAGCTCATGAAATTATGACAACCCTATAGAAAACAAATCAAAACAAATTATGAAGCTCAATTTTCAATAAACTCACAATTTAATTATGAAATTGAAACATATTCAATCTATAAATAGGACACAATAAAACAATTTGAATCTATCCAGATTAACCCACAAAACACGAGACCTAAGTTATAAGATCATGATAACCTCATAAAAAGCAAACCAAAATAAATTATGAAGTTTAATTCCTAATCAATTCAATATTGAAAAATAAAATTTTAAAAATTCAATTAAAAAAGACAAAAAAAACTTGAGTAAATTAAATTAACCTATCAAACTCGCAACCCGAGTTATGAGACTGAGATAATCTCATAAAAAGAAAATTAAAATAAATCATAAAGTCTAACTCCTAATCAATTTAATGTTGAAGGATGAAATTAAAAAAAAATACCGATTAAAAAAAGATAAAAAATTCAAGTTAATCTTCCAAACTCATGTCACGAGTTATAAGACCGAGCTAACCATGTACAAAGCAAAGCACAATAATTTCTAAAGCCCAGACTCCAATAAATCAAATAATAAAATACAAAATTAGAAAAAAAATATTGATATGGATAAAAAAAGGCTAAAAAAATAATTAAAATAAATAGTATGTTGTGAGGTGATATACAATAAAAACACAATGCCCTTAATTTATTGTTAATTAATGATATAGATATAAAATTTTGATATAAAATTTCCATTCAGATATATGTATAAATTATTTCTTTTTTCCTAAAAAAATCAAGTTTGATTATCTCATTTTTTAAAAAAAATAAATTCATAATATATGAAAACTAAAATACCTCTATGGTAAGTCTCTCTCTTTCTTTGCTCTTCATTCAGGATTTATAATGTAAACAAGCAAAATACTCAAAGTTTAATGGCTAGATTGTAGATTAATCAAGTGTTTATTTAATTAAATCCACTTTTTACTATAAAGGGAGTTGATTTCTTGATGAAAGAATCCATATGCTTGCAAAAAAAAAAAATCATCTTTAATAGATTTAAAGACTCTTAAATTAGAATTTTATAGAGGTAAAATGTAATAAATATGCAAATGAATATTAAATTCTAATAATAACATTATTTGTTATTGTTTTGATTTAACATAAATGATATATAAAAAAATATTACGTGTGTATTGAGAATAAAAATTATGAACTTTATATCTAGATAATTCATGAAGTATTTATATATCATAAATCTTGACTTTTTATTTAAAGAAAAGAGCTTGAAACTTATTCCATTATAGTTATATTAATGAAGAATCAATATATTTTATATTTATATTAATAAAAAATAAATATTACTTACATATACATTAATGAAATGAAAATATGTTAGGTTTTAGACTTTATCTTATAAAATACAAATTGAGTAAGATCCAGACAAAGAGAATGAGGTTTGATAAAAAAGAAATAAATCCAAATAGAATAAATATTGGTTACAAACCACAAAAGGTAGGTCCGGAAAAAGCCAAGACATGCATTGAGCCCAAAGTTACCGTGCAATATATTTGGGTTCGCGTCAGGGGTTGAGTCTACTAAGCAATAAGCATGTGCCTCACACTTAGGATCTGGGTGTCATGCCTGAATCTAGGGGCATCTAGGCTTGGGTGCGACAACCAAGTCCACTAGTCTCTACAAGGACACATATGCTGATGTGGGTCTGATACTTAGGAACAGTATCATAGTTTCGATTCAAAGCTTGCTGTTAAAACATACTTGGCCAATTAAAAAATATTATTTAAAAAATACTGATAAATACTGGTTATCAAATTTCTTCGGGGAAAAGGAAGAAGGCAGTGAAAAGTTCAGCAAGTAAGAACATGCTTCATGATCTCAATGATTAGACGACACCCAGAATATTAAAAGGTTCGAGTTGGTAAAATATTTTGTCGTTGTCACTTGGGTGACCTGTGGGCTAACGTCCCGATCATATTTTAATACCATAACTACACACCAAATATCATGCAAAAAATCACACCAAAAAGCGCGGAAAAAAAAAACAAAAAAAAAAACAAGGAAACAAAGCGCTGTCACCTACATCCCGTGCTACCGTTCACCATGTGAACCTTCCCCAACTCTACAAGACCACAAGCTATTAGCAATCAGCTCTTCACAACGACATCTATTACGTGAAAAGGTAATTCGGTCATGCTATGTTCTTTATCCCGGTAAATTTCATGGCTATTGAAATCAACTAGATTTATTGGGTTAATTTAAAATTTTAGTATTTAAAACTTAATTTAGATTAAGTATTTAGTTAAATCATCTAAGATATTGATGAAATAAAATATGGTTGATTTGATAAATTCAATTTAGAAGTCAACTAGATTAATATAAAAAAAATCTTTTTAATTTGCTAACTCAATTTTTTTTAAAAAAAACAAGTCTCATGTCTAGTAATTATGAAAAATATTTTACGCCCTAAAAAAAAAATTATGTTTCCTCCTCCAAAGATTCATTAATATCCCACTTCACCTTCTTGTAAAGATTTAGTATTGCAATCAATTATCTTTATCCACTCTGCCCTCTATCGTTTATTCATTAGACCCATTTTATTTAAAAATTACTTTGATTTAACAACTTTATAATGATAAGAGGACCCTAATCACATCTCCCAAACCTACAACTTGGGCGGTGAAATATGTTTTTGTCAATTTGTAGGGGTTTTTTTTATATATATATGGGGGGAAAAACTCACCTTTTTTAGCAAGGCCATTTAAGTAATTGAACTCATTGCTTTTGTTTGTAACTTTTACTACAATATAAATATTAATAAACCATGACATACTAAGCCATGAGTCGATGTAAATGGAGCAACCACCATACACTGAAGATGAACCGACCACAAACTCTCCAGAGGCAGCCACCGCCAAAACCCACCAAAATTCTGAGACTCCACGGGGCAGCGGCACTCGAAATCCTGTCTATCGCGGTGTCCGAAAACGGAGGTGGGGGAAATGGGTGTCTGAAATTAGAGAGCCACGCAAGAAATCACGTATCTGGCTAGGCTCATTTCCTGTGCCAGAAATGGCAGCCAAGGCATATGATGCGGCAGCGTATTGTCTTAAAGGTTGTAAAGCGCAACTTAATTTTCCCGACGAAGTGGATGACTTGCCTAGACCGTCCACGTGTACGGCCAGGGACATCCAAGCAGCAGCAGCAAAGGCAGCACATTCAGTGCTGCTTCCATCGAAAAAGAGCATCGAAACAAATAGCGAAGATAGTGTTGACGGAGAAGTTGTCGATGATGATTTCTGGGGCGAGATAGAATTGCCGGAATTGTTGACGAGTAATAGTGGGTGCTGTTGGAATTCTTGTGGATGGAGTACTCCTTTTGCAAGCGATGGTTCAACGTGGCAGCAGGATGGAGAGGCTCTACCACAGTTCATGGCATGTCTTTATTAGTGTGCATAGCTTCTAGGCAAGTATCAAATCTTCAAGTACTTTAAAATTGGTCGGGTAATATCTCTACATAGATGAACTGGATAGTAATTTTTCTCGTGTGGGGTGTGGAATCAAAACAGCCAGTTTACAAGCTCTGATAAATTTTCAGAAATGCGGCCACTCGCAAACACACCCCAGATCAAGGTATTCCGCCGCCTGCTTGGTGGATGTTATGGAGGATTCACCTTCCATGCAAGTTATTTATTTAAATCATCTCATTGCCATAAGAGCGTCTGTGTGCGCCTAAATAAATTTCCACTACTCTATATAATAAATAGATTCTTTTTTTCCCGGATGAAGAGACATTTCATTGATACAGAAAGAGACAAGTAGGAGCTCATCCCGCTACATAACTTTCCGCATACTGACAGCAGAATATTGCCAGAAAAAAATCACATACGAGAGAGAAACATTCAGTTTGAGAGAACTAGAGTCCCGTTCGGTTTCTAGGAGCAATTTCTTTTTCTTGTTTCAATTTCTCGAGCAATTTAGTATATTGAAACAAGTCTCTCCCTCTCATTTTTTTTCCTTACAAATCGTTCACGTATAAATTGCAATTCCACAAAACCGACATGCCAAATGGATTCTAGACCATAATCATTCATTGATCACTTTATTAGCATGGCCTTAATTGTACTCTACCAGCACTCCAAGTTATTAACAATTAAGGCTAACAAGCAATTAACAAAAGAGCTCGGACATTTACCGTGTGAGCCCTGTTCATACTCTCACAGAGTCATGTTCATAGCACTATTTTTATTTATTGTATTTCCCATGCTGATCTTCGCCCTTTCTGGAAAGGGAGCGTTAGTGTACATTGCGGTAATTAATTGTTAGTGTTGCCCCCCATTCTTGATCCTGGGAAAAAGCTGTTAATTATTGGTGGGTTTTTTCGCCAACTAAATCAGCTCCATCAATGTGCATTTAATGCACAGATTTATTTTGATCATCTCCCCCATCACATGTTGTCTTTGGATGGAACTTTCGTGTTCTTAGAAGGAACAGGTTAGTAGCTAGCAGGTTGTAATCGGACAACATTGCGTTTCTCTCTGGTCCCTTTCCCCCTTAATTGGGAGCTGGTTTCAATTGCTTTCGTTCGATTATAACCTCTCGTTACCATATGAGTTGGTTGCCACTGCTGCTGTTTGCTCTTGATTTTGTCTTTTTCATGCCCTTTCTATGCTCTTCTGTTTGATCCTCAGTTGAGGCGTGTTGGGTGCCTTGCCTGCCTTTTCAAATGGAGAGTTGGGAATTTGGCATATTTTTCGGAACATTTTCCAGAGCACTCGCAGATTTGATGCATTTGACGCGTAGGCTTTTTTCATAACTTCTAGTTTTTAGTTTTGGTCTTTCCACGCCATTTCTGACTGGCTTTTCTTGGAAGGCTGTCTGCTACCGCCTACCTCTATATGGCATTTTTGGTTCCCCAACTAGATGTGCTTGCCTCATCGCATGTGGTTTTCAGTTCGTTTTAGCAGCTTGCGTTCCATTTCAGGATGCTGCTCGTAGGTTTTCCCTGGAGTCTTTTTCTAGACCAGCACAGTGAAAAAAATCTCTCAAATTAGTGTAGAAAGAAAATAATTCAAATTAATTCAGTTAAAGGATTCATGCAAGCCACGTTTGCTCTAATCAATATGTGAGATAGTAAATTCTAGGTGTATATTTTAATTAGTCAGTTCATATATTTAATTTTTAAAAATTATTAATTTGAGTATCACATATCATAAATCTAGAATTACTAAAAATTTATATAATTATTAATTTTAAAAATCATGAAATTAATAAAAATATACATAAATGATCTCAAATATCCAAATTAATTAAAAACATACATGCATATAATAGCCACACAACTATCACGTTTCATTTTTCTTCCTGCAGATCCATGCATCTTCATTCAGATTAAATCCCCTCTGTATCAAAGTTACTATAAATATAAATGTTTCATTCTTTTTTTTCTCTTTCTCTTCTCTTTTATTTTTTTATAACATCTCTTTTTTTTTAAGAGAAATAAGAGAAAAGAAAAGAAAAGGAGAAAAAAAGAAAGAACACACATTTTTAAATATTAAAATTCAATGGTTAGAAAAATAGATGAGATATCGTAAAAAAGACAAGAGATAGCACAGAAAAGGAAATAAAGGAAAGAAATTTAAATATTGAATTTTGTATATTTAAATTAATGTAGATTGATTTGGATATTTTTAAATGCTTGGAGGGGGGGTGATTTGATTGGGCAGGCGTGGAGAGGCAGGAAAAAAACATGAAAGCTGCTCGTGCGCAAACATAGCCAACACGAGTGCTTTAAGTGTATTAGCTTAATAATTATATTTTAAAATTATACTAGTTTAAAAAATATTCAGGTGTGCTTGTGTGATCAATATTTCATATTTGATTCTAAAAAAATTGTACCTATCTATTTAACGGTATTCGGTGGACGGGGCTGCCTTTCTTTTGCGCGGCAGGGTGTTTGATAGACGGTTGTTTAGAGATTTATATAATTATTAATTTTAAAATTTATAAAATTAATTAAAATATTTGTAAACTGATTAGAATATTTATATTAATTAAAAAAATTGTGAAATTATATATGGAACTGTTTAATTGCGGGTTTCTTCTGTGGTGCCTTTATTTTTTTCTTTTCTAGCTTCTTTATCATGGGACTTGCAAAAGCCTTAAATTGGATTTTAAAAAAAAAAATTAGCAGCTACAAGAAAGTTTCAGGTGAATGATACTATTTGAATTTTTTTTGAGAAAATAAAATAGTTTAGCACAACTATTATTTGGAATCATAATTTTAGAGTGAATCACTATTTTAAATCATGTTTTAATAAAAATCATAATTCAAAATTAATTTCATCCATTTAAATTATAATTATGTTTTTATATCTAATTAAATCATTCAATTAAATTCAAATTAAATTTTAAATATAATTAAATTTTAATTCGATCAATGATTAAATTAAATTAACCTATTAAAAATTTAATTATATTTTTAGACTTGATTTTTATATAAATTTATCTAATAATAATTAAATTTAATCTTAAATCTGCATTATATCTTTGATGTTGAATATATCAAGATATAATTATACTCAAAATTTATCCATAATTTCAATTTGATTTTTTTATATGTACCTGGAATTTTCGATCAGTTTCTGTCGAGTCTTATTGCTATTATTATTTATTTTTTCATTAATTTTTTTTAAAAAAGCTTTTTCAAGATAATGGAGACATGACTAATTTATTAAGAAATAGCACCAATTGTTGTAACGTAGCATTATTTTAAACCACTTTCCACTACATTGACAGCGCTAGCTTGCTAATAAAATGATGATCAAGCCATCTATTGTTGACACGTTGACACCACAAGAATATTGAGGGAGGATCTGGAGAAGTAATCATCGATATGATTTTTAAATGTATTTATGATTTTCACATATTTGATAATATTTAAAAGTCATTTTTTTCAAAAAAATATAAAGGCTAGAATTGGTTTAAAGTCACCATCACAACTTTTCTAAGCACGATTACGTACAGGAAAATAGTTTTTTTAAAAGCGATGTTTTTTAAAAAATAAATTTTATAAAAACAAATTATTTTTATATTTGATAATATTATGAAAAAAATAAAAAATATTTTTAAATATTTGGTTATATTATAAAAAATAAATTAAAAAATAATTTATTAATAATTTTTTCAAGTTCATTAAAATAATAATAAAAATTCTTATAAATTAAAAGGTCAAAAAATGAAATTGAAAAAAAAATTTATAATTTATCTCAAAAAAATAATAATTAAAATAATATAGATCAAATCTAACAAGTAAAAAAAATAAAAAATGGTGAAATAATAATAATAATAATAATAATTTCATAAATTATTTTAAATAAAATAAGTAACAATTAAAATAATAAAGATCAAATTTGATAAATAAAAAATTTTAATTTAAAAAATAATAAGAAAAAAATAAATAAAAATCATAAAAATAAGGATCAAAGTTAATATAAAAATTAAATTAAATCAAATTTTAAAGGATGAATTTTTAAAAAAAATATATATTTCAATCAAAAGTTTAAGGATTAAATTTAATTTAATCAGCAAATAATATAATATTTTTAATTTTTTTATAACTTTTAAAAAGCATTTCCATCTAAAATAAAATAATTTTTTTTTATTAAAATCAAGTAAAATATTTATTTGATACAAAAAAAAATTTTGATTAATTAATTTTTATAGTAATAAATAAATACAAAAAAGAAACAGATATATTTATCAAGTGGGACTTTCCTGGTATGAGTCGGTACTGTATTGATTATCCTGTGCTAGGTGTAAGTAGGGATAAACCCCACAGTATGGAGGATCATGCAGATGCGCCTGTAATTGTCCACCCCTCATTCAGCCATCATGCTTGCCAACTAAATTCATGAGGACCGCCAAATTGGTGGTCATTTCAATTAAAAAATCTAGCGAGATTTTTCATAGGAGAGCAAGATATTCTAACGTGATCGTCTCTACGATAACGTTATTGGTTATTATTGGAACTGCCTTGGTCTTCCGCCATGCCATGGGATGCTCCACTCACTGATTCCACCTGTCCGTGTTATGGGCTTTGGCCATTTCGACCCTTCCTTTCTACTGTATGAGTAAATTATTTATTCAGTCCCTGTAGTTCTCACGATCTTGTAATTAGGTTTTGAAAATCATTAACCTTTGAACAAAGGTGGCTGCTTAGATTTTTTTTAAATGTTCAAACTATCCTTTTTAATCATTCTCTACATTTTTTTTTTGTAGTTGTTGTAATCGGGAATTGTGACTATTAAAAGGCTGGATATTTCAGGGAAGAAAATTAAATTGTATACATATTATAATTGAAGATTCAGGGGGGTCAATGTAGGTTGTTTAAATTATAGTAGGACTAAATAATTATTTTGCTAAAATTATAGGGCCTAAATAGAAATTCTCACAATGCGAATTTGCAAATATTAGCTGGACTTTCTATGGGAATAATTGATAAAAACCTATAGGGTGTGGGTGTTTGGTTGTAGTTCTAAACATGTACTCATTTGGATTGCTATGGTAAACTATCATTTTATTCTTAGTTGAAGAAAATAGGAATCTTGTTTAGGGAGTAATTTGATATTTTTAACTATTAATTAGTCATTAAAAAATTATTAGAGAATATTTTTGTCTTTTCAAAAAATTTAAAACAATAAAGCAACTTCTTTAACCAAGAGGTTTTTCATCTTTTCATATTTTAGAATACTATAAAAATAAAAACATTCCTTTTCCCTTAAAAAAAATAAAAACCAAGGCACACGCTTGAATATATTTTTTTTCTTTTCACATGATTTGTTATAATCTTTAGATTCATGGAGGATTTTTTTTATTTTTATGTTGAAAAAAATAATTTTTATTCAAAAAAATATTGATGTGTGTTTATTATATGCCAAAGAGTGAGTGACACCCATACCATTTGGGTGGCGCGTGAGACGTCATTCCTGATAAAATCTGGTTTTTTATTGTGTCGTTTGGAAGCATCTTTGTGTTTTTTTTAGTGGCATGAATGGTAATAAATGATAATTTATTTGTTACCGATATTTGTTTCTTTATTTTCCTTATTTTCTCTATCCAACCTGAAAAGTAAATGTTTGTCCTCCTTTTGTTTTAGTATTTTGATTTCAATCGTTATTCTTTTGATTTTTTTTATTTTTTTTCTAAATTTTTTATAAAGGTTTTGTTTGTTTTTAATTTATCTTTTCAATTATAATTTGTCATGTATTATTTTTTCTATTTCGATCCTTATTATTTTGATTTTTATTTTTTTCCTTAATCTTTTTTTTAAATTTTTTTTGTTAATTTTCAACTTCATCATTCATTTAAAGTCTATATTGTTTTATTCTTTTTAATTTGTCCCTTATTTCTTTGATTTGTTTTTCTTTTGTTAAAGTTATTTTTCTTTATAATTTAACCCCTCAAATGAATTTTTTTTGTTTCCCTCTAATTTATTTTTATTTTGTTTTTCACCCATGTTCTTTTAATTATAATTGTTTTGTTTTAGATCATTTTATGTAATTTATTTTTTTTATCAATTTTATCATTCGATATTTTATTTATTAAAGATTAGGCTTTGTTGTTTTTTCATTTGTGGTACTTTTGATAATAACTCGGATCATATGTTTAAAAAGTTAATGTCATTCAACATCTTTTTTTTATTTTCTTTTCTAATTCTATCATTCTACACCATTTCTTTCAAAAAATATTGGTTTTGTGGTTATTTTCAACTTTTTTTTATTGATTTATCTTAGTATCATAACCCAAGCTACAAGTTTTGCATATCTTTTTTTAATGGAATTTTTTTTAATTTTTAAAGATATTATTTTAATTCATCTATATATATTTTTATTTTATACAAATGAATTTTATTTTTAAAAAGAAAAAATATTTATTTTAAAATAATATTTCTAATATGTTTAGTTTTACAAAATATTGTTTTCTTTTCTTTTATTCAATCAATTTTATGTATGTTTCTATTTCTATTATATTTTATTAATTTTAATAAATAAATTTAGTGAACATAATCTAGTAATTTTCTCATTTAACATGATCAATAATAGAGTTTTTTTTATTAGTCATTTTGTTATTGTTATTGAGTGTTGTTTAAAATTAAACTAATTATTTAGTTTATCATAACAAAATCATTCCAATTAAATTAGATATCAAAGATTGAACTAAATAATATACAAGCTTGGATCAAAGCATGTGAAACACATATATCATGACAAACATGCAATCTAAAACTAAAAACATTTAAAGAATCTAGCATACATACTATATATATTAAAAAAAACATAAGATATAAAAGCACATACCTACATACATACTAACATACTTTAATTAAAATAAAAGTAGATATTTGCTTGTTGAAGCTTTTCAAAATATTGAAGCTAGTGTTGTTGTAAGGATGAATCTATTGTTTTTAATGTATTCATTAGATGGTGCTAGACATATATTTCCCTGAATGCTTAACTTGTGAAGTCAGGTTTTTGTTTTCACTTTATAAACTCCCCCACCGACCTCTTTCATAAATGTAGAAAAACTCCAATAACCTTTCTCTTACATATTGTGTTTAGGGCCAAAGCTATAATAATCCATTTCTTACCCTAATTACAGGGTTCGGGTTTGTTAGCAAAGCTGAGCTATTATACCAATTATTAGTTGGTATTAGGTTTATCTTTCACTCAAAATCTAATTTTTGAGATGAGGCCTTTCCTTATATTTTATAAACTCTTTGGGATTATTTATACATATTTTTAGAAATTTAAAAGGGTGTAATTAAAGGATAAAAACTTTTATCAAATTGAAATTATCGATTACAAAACTAAATTGAAAGGAAAATAAATATTTTATTGACTAATTTTAAGTGGTTATGCTTCCTAAAAACTAAGTCCAGTTTCTAAAAAATTCTATAATCTCTTTTATATTTTATGCAGAGTAATTTATAAAGTTCAATATCAAATTTAAAATTTAAATTGAAACTAAAATTAAATTTTCCAAAGATTATAGACTAATTTAAAAGAAGACCAAGTCTTATTCCTTTACATTGTCAATTCAAACTATAATTGGAATTTATTGTTTTGCCTTGCACAACAACATTTCAATGATTTTTTAATATACGTTTCTAGTGGTAAGTGTTTATGGTAGGAGAAATTGCCACCATTGATAGGAAATGCCAAAACCAAGGTTATATCCTGACTGTACATAGTGTGTCTACCCTTTTCTCCCATAGCAATTTTTAGATAGCAATTTTTAAAAAGCTTACTTGTTAAAGAAAAATAAAAAAAAGAGGAGGATGAAAGAGAATCAGAGAAGTTAGATCTTCTTTTCTGGATAAAAATCTAGCAGAGATATGTTGAAAATTCCTCCTCTTTAAAAAAAAAAACCTTTTTAATTATGATTCTTCCATCCATGATGTATTTTCTTGATCTTTTCCATCCTATATGATCAAAATCTTCTTATTAATCTTTCATCTAGACCTTTATTCCTTATAACTTGACACTTTAACATGCTATAGATAAGGTTTCTTTTTCCGCGTGAAAGGTGATGATTTTGATTCCATTTTCTTATTTAGCCCGATCTTCTTCTTCGAAAGTGATACATGAAAGGTGAGATGAATTTGGGTTCCTTTAAGTAATTCTAGTTGGTAAGTCACTCAACCCATATTTGATTTAATTTTAAATGAGTTATAATACATGAATGTTAATTTTTAGTTTTTTTTTTATTTTTTATTGAGCCTCGAATGACGATATGATTGGAGCTTAAAATAAACCCATTATCTTTCTCGAGTGTTTATATCATGTCTAATATTTCTCTTAAATGTGTATTCACTGTCTCATTATCTACATTTTATGGGTCTTAGTATGGTATAACCATAAATTACCATATGGTGGTTGGGGAAGGCTATGTCAAAAAAGAGATTACGGTATGGTTAATGGTTAGGTCAGTTGAGTTTTGGTTGATTCTTGGATCTATTTATCAAATTTATAACCTAAGTTATAAAATTTATTTAATTTAATTTTATTATATGAAAACAATGAAAAATATAACACATCTAATTGAAAAGAACCATCCATTGAGTTAGTCTGTCCAAAAAAGCTAGGTGTGTGGGCATGGAGGAGGCAAGCATGCTTGACCATTTTTGTTTGTGAAAACCATAGAAAATAAGTCAATTGAATTTGTGACCTCCGGGTCAGCCTAATAAGCTTAAAATGTTTCAACCACAGCATGTATATTATAGCTCGACGATTCAAAATCTATATCACTCTATATTAACGAGCACAAATGTCATGTGGTAAAGTTTATTGAAGGATTTGATATCTTATGCAATAGACGTTTGAGGAATGACCAAACCAAAATAGGTTTAAACAGTAGAAGGCTTCCATCAGTGCAAATTACAAATAAACCTATAAAGGTTAAATTAGAACAAAATCAAAAGTAGAAGGATGAATATAATTTTTTCTTTTTTTACCAGGGCCATCCACTTGTTTCCAGTGGTACCAAATAGAGCCTATAAGAAATAAGAGCTTGGACTCGATAACATATCTGTTCATAAAAGTTGTGGTTTTTAATTATAAGTATTACTTTTAAAAAGTTATAAATTATAGATTTTAAAAATAACACATGAAAAAGACTATAATAGAGACTATAATGTATTACTAAGTATTTAAAAGCTATAATATGGCTATAAATCACAGCTATAACCAAATTAATGATTTCCAAATTGGCATTAAATATGAGTTCAGTAATGTTGTATGATATTTTTGAAAAATTATTTTTAATTAAAAATATATTAAATTAATTTTCAGCATAATAAAATCATAAAAAAATTAAAAAATATTAATTTAATATTTTTTAAAACAAAAACTGATTTAAACTTAAAAAACAAAATCAATCCCTATTTCTCTTGGGCCTTGAAAAAATGTCATCTCTTTTCTTTTCAATAGTTTATTTGATATTATGATTATAATTATAGTTATTTTTAAAAAAATATATTTTTATAAATTTTTTGAAGTAAAGTTTTTTTTTTTTAAAAAAATATTTTTAACATTAATATATTAAAATAATCTAAAATCACATTAAAAAAATCCTTAATTTTTACATAAATATTTTTCAAAAACAAAAAAAATCCAACCGATAAAACAGACGGATCTTAAACCCACGCAACCGACCAATATATCATCCAACAAAACAAAGGCACGCAAGGAATTTTGACGAAAAATCCTTCACCTTTCCCTCTGTAGCCATTTCACTCTCTCTCTCGCTCTCTCTCTCCAATTTTCAAATTTCAATTTCTCAAACCCTAGAGAGCACACTCACAAACCCTAACGAAAACACAACCATATCATGGAATACAATCCAGAATTGCTCTCTCAATGTTTCCTCCACACACTCTCTCCACAACCCGAGCCTCGCCGTGCCGCCGAATCCAAACTTGCCGAACTCGCCGACCACCCTAACTACGCCCTCGCCGTCCTCCGCCTCGTAGCTGAACCCTCTATCAATGAACAGATCCGCCACGCCGCCGCTGTTAACTTCAAAAACCACCTCCGCTCCCGGTGGGCTCCATCTCCTGATTCCTCCTTCACTCCGATCCTCGACGCGGAAAAGGACCAAATCAAAACCCTGATTGTCACTCTCATGCTCTCCTCTACTCCTCGAATCCAATCTCAGCTCAGCGAATCGCTCTCTCTTATTGGAAAACACGATTTCCCTAAATCCTGGCCCACTTTGCTGCCTGAGCTCGTGTCAAATCTCCGAGCCGCTTCGCAGTCGAACGATTATGCTTCAATTAATGGTATTCTCGGTACTGCTAATTCCATTTTTAAGAAGTTTCGTTATCAGTATAAAACTAATGATCTCTTACTTGATTTAAAGTATTGTTTGGATAATTTCTCCGCTCCATTACTAGAGATGTTCCTTAGAACAGCGGCTTTGATTGATTCCATGGTTAGTTCAGGTGGTGGGTCACCTGTTACTCTAAAGCCTTTGTTTGAGTCACAGAGATTGTGTTGTAGAATATTTTTTTCATTGAATTTTCAGGAGTTGCCCGAGTTTTTTGAGGATCATATGAAAGAGTGGATGGCTGAATTTAAGAAATATTTAACAAATGGCTATCCTGTGCTAGAGAGTACTGCGGAAGGATTAGGTCTTGTTGATGAGCTTAGGGCTGCAGTATGTGAGAATATTAGTCTTTATATGGAGAAAAATGAGGAGGAGTTTAAGGATTATTTGAATGATTTTGCACAAGCTGTTTGGACTTTGTTAGGGAATGTGTCCCAGTCCTCAAGTCGTGATAGTTTAGCTGTTACTGCAATTAAGTTTTTGACTACTGTGAGTACTAGTGTTCATCATACTTTGTTTGCGGTTGACGGGGTTATACCACAGATTTGCCAAAGTATCGTGATTCCTAATGTGAGGTTGAGGGATGAGGACGAGGAACTTTTTGAGATGAATTATATTGAGTTTATTAGGAGGGATATGGAAGGGAGTGATATAGATACTAGGAGAAGGATTGCCTGTGAGTTACTTAAAGGGATTGCAACAAATTATAAGCAGCAGGTGATCAGTATAGTTTCTGTTCAGATTCAGAATTTGTTGACTTCGTATGCTGCAAACCCAGCCGCACACTGGAAGGACAAGGATTGTGCGATATATTTGGTCGTATCCCTTTCAACTAAGAAGGCCGGTGGTACTACTGTTTCAACTGATCTTGTTGATGTTCAGAGCTTTTTTGCATCGGTAATAGTGCCTGAGTTGCAGAGTCAGGATGTAAATGCCTTTCCAATGCTCAAGGCTGGTGCTCTTAAATTCTTTACAATGTTTAGGAATCAGATACCAAAGCCTCTTGTACTTCAGTTGTTTCCGTATTTGATTCAATTCCTAGGTGCAGAGTCAAACGTTGTTCATTCATATGCTGCAAGCTGTATAGAAAAACTCTTGTTGGTCAAGGATGAAGGGGGAAGATCAAGGTATACTTCAACAGATGTAGCTCCAAATCTTCTAGTGCTGATGAACAACCTTTTTACTGCCTTAAGGTTTCCGGAGTCAGAGGAGAATCAATACATAATGAAGAGTATCATGCGGGTTCTAGGGGTCGCAGAAATAACTCCTGAGATTGCTGGACCTTGCATTGCTGGATTGACTTCTATTCTGGCTGAAGTTTGCAAGAATCCAAAGAATCCAATTTTCAATCACTATCTCTTTGAATCAGTGGCTGTTCTTGTAAGGAGGGCATGTGAAAGAGACATCTCTCTCATACCATCTTTTGAAACAAGCCTGTTTCCTAGACTCCAGGAGATCTTGGGAAATGATGTAACTGAGTTTTTGCCTTATGCATTCCAGCTATTGGCTCAACTTGTTGAGTTGAATAGACCGCCCATCTCAGACACCTACATGGAAATTTTTAAACTTCTCCTGTCTCCTGATTCATGGAATAGAAACTCAAATGTCCCAGCCCTTGTCCGTCTCCTTCAGGCTTTCCTTGAGAAAGCACCTGAGAAGGTCACCCAAGAGGGGAGACTAGCTCAGGTGCTTGGCATATTTAACAGGCTTGTGTCAGCCCCGAGCACTGATGAACAAGGCTTCTATGTGCTGAACACTTTTATTGAGAATCTTGACTATGTAGCCATTGCTCCCTATGTTGGTCACATCTGGAATGCCCTATTTTCTCGCTTGCAAAGTAAACGCACAGTAAAGTTTATCAAGTCTCTTTCAATTTTCATGTCACTCTTTGTGGTCAAGCATGGCTCTGCAAACCTTGTGGACTCTATGAATGCGGTGCAAGCTGGTATATTTTTGGTGATTTTGGAGCAGTTCTTGATACCAAATCTCAAGCTGGTCACTGGGCACATTGAGGTCAAGTTAGTATCAGTTGCCTCAATCCGACTTATCTGTGAATCTCCTGCCCTTTTGGATGCTGGGGCTGTTAGACACTGGGGGAAAATGCTGGACAGCATTGTAACTCTCCTTTCACGAACAGAGGAGGATAGAGTTGGAGATGAACCGGAAATGCCAGATATTGCTGAAAATGCAGGTTATACTGTTTCATTTGTGAATCTGCACAATGCTGGAAAGAAGGAGGAGGATCCTTTGAAGGACATAAAAGATCCCAAGGAATTCTTGGCTACTTCATTAGCTAAGCTTTCTGCCCTTTCCCCTGCGAGGTTTCCCCAGATCATCAATGAAAATCTTGATCCAGCAAATCAAGCAGTATTGCTCCAGATTTGCAGCACGTACAACTGTCCGATTGCTTGAGTGAGTAGCTATACTAAATTACTTTTATTGCCTTTGCTCATGTTCATTTTTTTCTTATTGTTTTGCTTCTGTGTTTTTCCATTTGTGTTTTTTTTTTTTTTTATCTTATTGTGTTTTTTATATCCAAGAAATTTGCCACCGGATAAGATCAGTAGAGCATTGCTATGGTTGTATTTGACAAATAAAAATGCAAGCTCGCCAATCATAGTGAATCTTTTGGATGAATTTATTTGCTTTGCATGGATTCAGTGACTGCCTTAGTTAAGGATTCCTATTGACTAACAATTTAATGCAATTAGTTATCTTCACCAAACATTTTCAACAGATAATAATGATATGATCAGCATAATTTTGATATGGTGTTATCATTATGGTACCATAGCATGTTTTCATTGTGATATTTTCTTTTTCCTTGACTTGATCATTCTGTTCTTTTGAATAATTCTGTAATGCTTATCAATGCACAGTTAATCTCTACCTGTGTGGTCCTGCCAGAGAGAAGCCTACTGAAAGTCAACAAGTTTCTAGGGTGTAACTGCATCTGCTTTGGTTTCTCAGTGTAGAAAATTTACCTCATGGTTGTCTTGTGTGTTTTACTGTGCAATTATCATATATTCTATCGTTTCTGAAGTCAACATGACCAATTTAAGGCAGGTCTTCTAAAATTTTTCTTAAACAGCTTTCAGTCATTAGTCCATCTTGCATCTCAACTGATTCTTTTCATGACCCTGCTTGTTGCTGTTGTTTAATAGCACAAAAAATTACCAAGTCATTTCATTATTCCTGAGAATTTGTGAATTATCATGGCAGCATCTTTCACACCTATATTCTTCAATAGCTGATACATACAAATACATGCATTCTGTTATCATCCCATGACTTTGTAGCTAGGTGGCATATTTAAGGTGAGAAATCAGTAACTGAAATGTAAGCTAAAGATGTGAATTTAAGCCTTTACAAGCTCAATTCTACAAATTACTTGACTCATTAGGGAAGAGTTTTGTAAATTACCTATCTGAATCCTTTAGTTTAAACAGTGCAGAACATATATCATAAATTTCCTAGTTTTAGCACCGGTGCATTGTTTTGTGTCTGAAGACTGCTAACATTATTTTCTGAAGTTGTGTTACAGTGGAATCATCATGCTAGTTTTTATGATGGCTCATAATTTTTTATGCCTGGTTATTCTTCTTTAAATTGAACTTCATACTTTGCTTTGTTTCCTACAATCTTCCTCGAAATTTATTAGCAAGCCCAAAAAAGAGCTCTTGTTATGGAGTTGCAGCTGCATTGTTTGCTTATCTTTCTATGTCTTTGATTATTTTTAATTTGTAATTCTAGATGGCATATGATGTAGCATTCTTAACTAATAGCTGTTCTGGATTAACAAGGGACATCAGCTTAATTTCCTCCCTTGTACTTCTTAAATTTGCTTGCAACCACAAGAGAGAGATCTAACTAATTCTTTGTGCACCCTTTCAGATTATCATGTGGGAGTTGAGGTCTATCATGTGGTCGGATTTTCAACAAGGGGTTTCATTGCATTTATGAGCAGGTGGTACCTTTTGCATTGTGGTCGACTGGTTTTGTCAAGTAATAATCTTGTTTGCAACTTCCCATGATATATGCAGTAATGACTTGATTGTGTGGCCACAGCCTGGTAGCGATTTTCCTAAACAGTTAATGATAGTTCCACAATGTGGTTTATCGAATCTGGTTTGACAAACCTCCTTCCAGGCTTTGTTGTGAAGAGTTTTTTGAGTCTTGTTCGACTGCATTTGTGATCAAAATGTAGTTTCTGTGTACTTGCATGCACTGTTGTCATTGGGCCCATGAAAGGAAAAAAAGTAGTTTTTGATGGTATTAGGTCAGTCAGTTAATGTGAAGGTGAATTTTGGTTGATTTGCTGTTGCAAGTCTTCGTAACCACTACTAGCATGTTCCTGTGGTAAATTTGATTTTCCATTTTGTCATGTAAAATGACGATGTTCCGAATAGAGGTGAAGCACGCATGATTTGGCAAGAATTTATTTGACACTGAATAAGGGTGTTTAGGAAGAACAAGAAGTTCCATGATTTCAGGTGCAAATTCGATGGCTAAATTTGTTGGGAGCCGAAGCAGTGGGAAGTGATACCTGCACTCCCATGAAGGTTAACCACACTCCAATTACATTTTTTTTCCTGGACTGATTATGATACCCTTGGGCAAAGAAGGCAAATTAAAATGGCAAAAAGGTAGGTAATTTAGCCCCGAATTTATGCATATTGAATCAATCTATGTAGGTGCTTTTTTTTTATAATAATTATTTTATAGATAATAGATACGGTATGAAGATTGTTAATTTTAATTTGGAATTTGATATATATATATTAATGATTAGAGGGTATAGGGGATGGATGTTAAGCCTGGCTTAAACTTAACTTAAGAGGTATGTATTTGTATCCTATATACATGTGTTTGTGTGTGTTATTTTATGTTGAATAATAAATAATACTTGAATAATAGATATTTAAATCTGTAATGAGTAGGAAATGAATATAGTAGAAAATCAACTTGTTAGCACTCGTTACCATTAATATATGTATACGTCTCTCTACAATAATAAATAGTAAATATTTAAAATGCAAAAGATATGATTTAAATATTTAGATTTTTTAAATGATCTGGAACCTCGGCAGCGCCAGTTTTTTTAACTAAGTTCACAGGGATTGTAGTCTCTGCGGGCTATCAAGGGCAAAGACCAAACAAGCTGTCTAAAAAGGCATCGTCCTGAGCGCTATCTTCATTTAGATTCCCCAAACATATTGGGAATCCTGTCGTAACCTGAAAGAAGCGTAGGAGATCATTAAAAGCAGCTGAGACTAAGGTACTATTTGATTATATGTTTTAAAAATATTTAAAAAATAAATTAAACTTATTTTATTTTTTTATTAATTTTAAATTAATATATTTTTAATATTTTTAAATTATTTTAATGTGCTGATATTAAAAATAATTTTTAAAAAATAAAAAAATATCATTAGCATATATTTTAACATGAAAAACTACTTAAAAAATAATCATAACTATATTCTCAAACAAGTCTGAAAAATTGTTAAAAAATAATCACAACTGAATATGGAATTTCTTTTCTTGCTCATAGGATATGAATATATAGTTTCTCATTGTTAATTTCTCTCTACGAAACTTGGAATGGACTCATTTCCTTCTTTCAAATCCCGCGAGGGGGAAAATATGGCATCATTTGAGTTCACATCTTCCCTCAGCGTCAAATAACTCCTAGCTCTCAAATCCCACTCTCCACCTTATCCACGGGTTGCAGGATTGTGGATATTTTCATCGGATTTATGGTGGTTGGGTTTGGATGTGGAAAAAAAGGATTTGTTTGGCAATTTGCTTGAAAGAAGTATTGTAAATATAAGAGGAAAAGGAGTGGAAAATCTATGTTGTTAATATTAATTAAAGATATGGATGCTCAAAGACTGTTAAAAGATAAAATCCATTAATTCTCTATTAGTTTTTGTTCAATACCATGTTGTTACACGGTAGGATGGTCTTTTGTTTGAAAATCCTCCACCAAAAATGGTGCTTTGAAATACGTCTGGCAATTTGGGAAAAAATGTATGCTTGGTGGTGGTGGAGGAGGAGAGAGTTGTTTAACAATCAAATTGATAAGAGAGAAACTTGCAACTTCTCTCCGGGATTTTGTTGTCGATTTGAAAGAAGGATGGGTGATGCGAGTGTGGTTAACCTCGGTGGAAGTGTGAATATCACCTCCCCGGAGCAACGTTTAAATCATCATAAACACATAAACAGCGTTTGGGCTTTCTACGTCCGGACATACCATTTATTATAGAAATTTGTCTCTGGACCTCAAGAATTTCATTTATTGGGCTTTCTATGTTTTGATTTTTTTGTTTTTAGTTTTCATCTTGGTAGCTATCATGGACTTCTATGGAGCATGGTTTTGTTGTGATGTCCATGCCGCCATCGTTCATATGGCATGCATGCGTAAGTATTCTATTGTTATTAACATAAGACAATCTCCTATTCTCTTTCTAGTGAAGGAAAAGAAAAATGTTTGTTGCCACAAATCTCAATTTTTATTAGAATCCAGAAGAACACGTCATGCACCAAAAATCTACCTTGTGGAAAAAGAAAACATAATAAATAGCCACATTCAATCAGACAGCATTTTGGATTGTTTCTTATGGGCCCTGAACACTGGATCTGGGACTAACGGGGGGAAAAACCCCATAATATTTCTGCATCTATCCTTTTACCTACTCTCTTCCCTGTTCACCTTTTCTTATTCTTCCTTCCTTTGATTATTTTATCCAAATTGCTTGGAGAATTATTCAGTCTGGCTCTTCAAATCCACACAGAAGCACTCACTAAACATCAACACCGATCATATGTTGTAAGAAATTGATTAATAGCAATGGTACATTTCCTCCACCAGATGTTGCTGATTTTGCTAGACTGCCAAACTGACTTCCACTAAGCTTAGACATGCTATATTTTAACATCTGGTGGAGGATCAATGGTGTGATTCTTTACTAGCAACGTATCATACTTCATATTATACCAATAAGTGTCCTTTCCAATGCTAAATATTGGTTACTGATATAATCATTATTGCACTGTGTGTGCGATGAACGCACCATCATATGGTTCAGGCTGAGCCATTTGTATGGTCCCCTACCGAGCCCTCCCTGATCACCTACTCTAAGCACTAAACCAGTTGCCCAATGAGCCTCTAAACGATCTATAGGACTTGGAAGTAAAATTATTCTTGTTTTTCTCTTCTTCTTTTTTTTTAATTAACATTGGATGTTTGAGATGGTTTATATGCATGTTGACTAATTCTACCACTTTTAAAATTAAAAATTATATAAATCTTTAATAATTTTAAAATTTATAAAATTTAAATTGATGAAACCTATAGAGTAAATTTAGAGCATGAGAAGATGTGGCTTTACTTAACTAGGCCAAATCCTTCGACATTCATATGGCTTACCATTTGTTGCAATAGATTACTGAAGAAATAGCATGCCATTCTTGGTTATCCATTAAGATAGATTTGACAAGACGGGCAAACCCCACAAATCCTTTGGAACCCATTCGAAATAAATGGTTTCGATTCGTCAAAGTCCTTGAGACTAACTCAACAGTTTGTGATTTTTAATTTAAAAATCAAATTCAAGTTGTATAATTTTTAGCCAAAACTCATTCATGAGATAGAAAAAAAAAAGGTTATCATATAATTCTTTTTTATTGAATGGCAATATGTTTCAGCATGACCCAAGAAACATATTCCCAGAGAGTGGGCGAGATTAAGCACAAGCTTTATCTTCCGGACTTGCAACTAGCAAGAAGAGGGATAACTCTCCATTTTCTGCCTTGGCATTGCTTTTGTTATGCTAATTTGCTTTGTGTGTAAATAAACAAGGAAATCAATGTCATGAACCCCACATGAATTTTGTTACTAAATGGGAACTTCCACTCGGGATTCTAGTCCTTTTCTTCCAACTTGTGCGTAAAGTTGATATGAACCTCAGCTTCATTGCTCAGAAGAAGAAGATTAAAGTTGGTGGAAGGTAGAGGCTATGGAGGGCCAATGGTTCTCAAGATCCCCAACGTTAGGCACAGGTGTAATGGCTTTAGAAAGCGTCCATTTACGTCGAAAGCAACTCATTATCTATACGGAAATACATAATGATAATAAACGGATTAAAAAAACCATAGGGGAAAAAATCTCTTTCAACAGTGGAAAAATAATGGAGTATAACATCTAAACAACTAAATATAAAATAATAAAATTAAGAAGATGAGATTAATGAAATTTAATGCTTAGTCAACGACATATATTCTAATTTTATTATCCAGATTATAAGTTTGGATAGTTATTTTAAATTAATTTTATTTTTTTAATTTATTTTTTTATATTATATTGATTGTGAACTAAACTTTATTTTTTTATTTGGTTATCTCTATTTCATGATTTAGATCGTTAATTTAGCAATTTAACAGGGATTGACTTTGATATTTTTTGTTATTTTTTTAAATATATTTTTTTCAATTTTATTTTTCAATATTGAATTTTTTAGAATTACAGTCTGTAATTTTTTTAATTTAGTTTTATATGATTATTCCAATATCATAATCTAGGTTACGATTTTAATAGATCATCTAAGCTGATTTAAGTTATTTTTTTAAATTTTTTACATTAAATTTTCTTTTTATTTATTTTTTTAAATAATATAACAACACAGCTCGGATCAAAGTTCTCTAACCTATGAAAAAATGAAATTTGGCTTATAAAAGAGGTTTAGCCACTTCATTCATCTGTAACAAGATATTATTGGAGCGTGTTTTTCAATTGTGTTTATATAAATTTGTGCTTAAAAAAATAATGTTGTGTATATTAAATTCATTACACTATGATATTGTATTGTGCTATAGTTGGGTAAGATCATTTTTTTTTAACAAGGTTTTTTTTGATAAAAAAGTAAATTATATAGAAATTGATTTAATATTACTTGGTTATTTTGACTTGGTTAACCAATAAAAAATATAGTTTGATCTAAAATAAATATTTAAGATGAAATTCTTTAATAAATATTAATATGATAATATATTAGATTGATTTAGATCAATTTAGTTAAGTTGTTAATCTGCATATTAACTCATGAGATCATGATATTTTTATGGAAATTAAATTAAAATAAATTATAAAATTTAATTTTTAATATAATTAATGTTAAATAATGAAATTATAAAATAAATTATAAAATTATAAAACTTAATTCTCAATCAACTTAATATTAAAAAATAAAATTAAAAATTATCAATTAAAAAAGAATATAAAAGATATTCAAGTTAACTAGTGTGACCCAGGTTATGAAATGGTAATAATCTCATAGAAAACAAACTGAAACAAATCACTGAGCTAAATTCTTAACTAGTCCAATATTAAATTATAAATTTAAATAAAATAAAATTTAATTAAAAAACTCAAATTAACCTAGTTA